TGAGACGGAGTTTCACTCTTGTTACCCAGGCTGGAGTGCAATGGCACAATCTTGGCTCACCACAACCTCCGCCTCCTGGGTTCAGGCAATTCTCCTGCCTCAGCCTCCTGAGTAGCTGGGATTACAGGCACGCACCACCACGTCCAGCTAATTTTTTGTATTTTTAGTAGAGACGGGGTTTCACCATGTTGACCAGGATGGTCTCGATCTCTTGACCTCGTGATCCACCCGCCTCGGCCTCCCAAAGTGCTGGGATTACAGGCTTGAGCCACCGCGCCCGGCCAAGTTTTGTATTTTTAATAGAGACAGGGTTTCACCTTGTTGACCAGGCCGGTCTCGACCTCCTGATCTCAAGTGATCCGCCCTCCTTGGTCTCCCAAAGTGCTGGGATTACGGATGTGAGCCACTGCACACCTGGCTTGAGTCTTCACATTTCTTAAAAGAGAAACGATTCCTAGTCCCTGCCTTTTCCGACACATAACATTTCCAAGATGACATCTGATGGACTTAGTGATGATGCCTCTGTGATCTAGGAGTGGCCAGATGTACTCTGACACCCAAACCTTGCTGTGATTCTGCTCTCACGTAATTCTGAGCAAGTCTGCCGGGATTGTGCACATATGGAACCTCCCCTGTCAGCCCCCAGCTGGGGACCGAAACACTGCCACAGCCTGCTCCTGGACTGGAGGCCTCAATCTGTAGTCCTCAGGAAGACTTGGAATAAAACTAGCATTAATTCTTTAAAAAGAATTGTTTTCTTTTTACTTGGCCCTGTGGTAGAGAATAACTGGCTCTATGTGTGAAGGGTGAGGAGCAGAAAGGGTCGGTCTCTCAGGAAGAGGCATTTCGCCCAAGAGCTAAGGAGGAAAGGGGGGCCCGCCGTATTCGTGCCTGGGGAAGAGCGTTGCAGGCACAGGGAGTAGCCAGGTCGGAGGCTCTGAGCAGGAGAGGCATGTCTGTGTAAGGGAAAGGAGACGAGGAGGAAGGGGAGGAAGCCACGTGAGGCAGAGTGGAGGGGAACCTTAGGGCTAGCTTTCCGGGCTGTGGCAGGGAGTTCAGGTCGTATTCTAAGTGCGATGGGAAACATTGGAAGGTTAAAACTGAGAGTGACACAGCCTGATTGATCTTTCACAAAGCTATTTCTGAGGCTGGGTGCAGTGGCTCACTCCTGTAATCCCAGCACTTTGGGAGGCTTGGGCGGGCAGATCACCTGAGGTCAGGTGTTTGAGACCAGCCTGGCCAACATGGCGAAACCCCATCTCCACTAAAAATACAAAAAATTAGCAGGGCGTGTTGGCGGGCACCTGTAATCCTAGCTACTAGGGAGGCTGAGGCAGGAGGATCACTTGAACCTGGGAGGCAGAGGTTGTAGGAAGCTGAAATCTCACCATTGTACTCCAGTCTGGGTAACAAGAGTGAAACTCTGCCTCAAAAAAAAAAAAAAAAGAAAAAGAAAAAGCTTACTGTGTCTCTGAACCCTACCATCTATTATTCCACCCACACCTGTAGATTTTTGTTCAGTGTGGGGCTCTAGGGGACCCAAGGAGAATCAGCCAGAGTAAGGGTCCCCGCCCCTAACAGGCACTCGGCCCTCCTCCCTGCTGCAGCCTCACCCCCAGATGAGTCCCCCTCCTCTTCCCTGCAGCACTGACACAGTCCATGGATCCACTGGAAACTGGTTTATTTTTGATTTGTTTTCAGGGACAGGGCTGGGGTGGGGTGGGAGGTGGCTGGGCTCTGCAGCTTGGTTCTAGGGCCGTTGGTTCTCATCATCGGCACTGCGCCGGCCGAAGTCCATCCATCCGTAGGCTTCTTCTTCTTCCTCCACCCGTGGGCCCTTCTTCTTGGACAGGTCTGAGGAGGTGAGAGAGGCGAGAATGGGGGAAGGTGCCTATCCTCTAGCAACCAAGGTCGGGGCCAGTCTGGGGAGACCTTGGCTAAACCTGGCCGAGTGAGGCAAGCAGGGCGGTCAGCAGCTCCTACCTGCCACCAGGTGTGGGGGACCCTGGGGTCCCAGCTGCCTTCGGTGATGAGAGGCTGGGCCCTCCTGTTCCAGCCAGTGTTGCTCCAGGTCCCTGTTGGCCCCTGTACCTAAGGGTGCATCTGGCCGCTGGGTGTGGGGCTTCCAGGAAGCTTCCGAGAAGGTGGCCAGAGCCAGCGCAAAGATCAGCGCATACACACACAGTCGCTGCATCTTGTCTGCAAAGGGGAGAAGGGCCCAGCTTAAGGGTGGGGCTGTCCCCACACAAGCCCAGAGGCACGGGACCGAACCATGTGGTTCCAGGCCTCTATCTGCTGATGAGTCTGCAATTTTTTTTTTTTTTTTTGAGACACTTTCACTCTTGTTGCCCAGGCTGGAGTGCAGCGGTGGGATCTCGGCTCACTGCAGCCTCTGCCTCCTGGGTTCAAGTGATCCTCCTGCCTCAGCCTCTCAAGCAGCTGGGACTATAGGCGCACACCACCACGCCTGGCTAATTTTTTCATTTTTAGTAGAGATGGGGTTTCACCACGTTGGCCAGGCTGGTATTGAACTCCTGACCTCAAGTGATCTGCCCTCCTCAGCCTTCAGAATAGCTGGGACTACAGGCTTCTGCCATCACGTCCAGTGAATTTTATTGTATTTTTTGTAGAAACGGGAGTTCGCCATGTTTCCCAAGCTAGTCTTGAACTCTTTTGCTCAAGCGATCCTCCCCTCAGCCTCCCAAAGTGCTGGGATTACAGATGTGAGCCACTGTGCTCTGCCCAAGACTTGTTATTTAAAGTGAACTTTTTAGGCCAGGCATGGTAATCTCAGCACTTTGGGAAGCTGAGGAGGGCAGATCGATTGAGCCCACGAGTTTGAGACCAGCCTGGGCAACATGGCGAAACCCTATCTCTACAAAAAATACAAAAATTACCTGGGCATAGTGGCATGCACCTGTATTCCCAGCTACTTGGGAGCCTGAAGTGGGAGGATCGCTTGGGCCAGGGAGGTAGAGGTTGCAGTGAGCTGAGATCGCCGCACTGTACTCCAGCCTGGGCAACAGAGTGAGACCCTGTCTCAAAAAACAAAAACAAAACGTGAAACTTTTAAATAGTAATACCAAAAGAACAGACATTCAGCTGTGTTACAGACCACATGCTTTCACTTTGGAGACTGAGGCACATGCAGCATTTGGCCAGGTCACACTGGTGGTTTTTTTGAGACGGCATTCACTTTTGTTGCCCAGGCTGGAGTGCAGTGGCACAATCTCGGCTCACCGCAACCTCTGTCTCTGGGTTCAAGTGATACTCCTGCCTCAGCCTCCTGAGCACCTGGGATCACAGGCACGCACCACCATGCCCGGCTAATTTTTTTGTGTTTTTAGTAGAGACAGGGTTTCTCTATGTTGGTCAGGCTGGTCTCGAACTCCTGAGCTCAGGTGATCCGCCCACCTCAGCCTCCCAAAATGCTGAGATTACAAGCGTGAGCCACCGTGCCCGGCCAGATCACACTGTTTTTTTGTGCCGCCCTCAGAGGAAAGGTTCTCCTGTCATTTTTGCTTAATTGAGGGAATATCCTGTGATTATAATGGAGCAGTTAAGAAAAATTAAACTGTCACCATTAGCAATTATGTATCAGGGTGAATCAAGTTTGGGGAAAACATAATATAGAACTAAATTGGAATCTCAGACAAACAAAATTTAAATGGTCACCTGTTCCCTGGGTTCACTATTTTTGTATTACTTTAGCATCACTGTTCTGATTGGCTTGATAAATCATTTTTTGATTTATCATTTTTATCATTCCTTGATAAGAAAATGATACAATTTTTCTCTTGTCAGAATACATTTGTATTAATAAAACACTATACTACTTTTAAGTTTTTCTTTTCTTTTCTTTCTTTCTTTCTTTTTTTGAGACAGAATCTTGCTCTGTCACCCAGGCTGGAGTGCAATGGCATGATCTCGGCTCACTGCAACCTCCGCCTCCTGGATTCAAGTGATTCTCCTGCCTCAGCCTCCTGAGTAGCTGGGATTACAGGTGCCCGCCACCACCCCCACCCACCAGCTGATTTTTTGCGTTTTTAGTAGAGACAGGGTTTCACGAGGTTGGTCAGGCTGGTCTCGAACTCCTGACCTCGTAATCCGCCCCCCTCGGCCTCCCAAAGTGCTGGGATTATAGGCATGAGCCACCATGCCCAGCTTCTTTTTTCTTTTCTTTTTGTGAGACAGAGTCTTGCTCTGTCTCCCAGGCTGGAATGCAGTGACTGGTGTGATCTTGGCTCACCGCAGCCTCGACCTCTTGGACTTAAGAGATCCTCTCACCTCAGACTCCTGAGGTAGCTGGGACTACAGGCGTGCTCTACCACACCCAGCTAATTTTTTTGTCTTTATTTTTAGTAGAGATGAGGTCTCACTATGTTGCCCAGGCTGGTCTGGAACCCCTGAGCTCAAGCAATCTGCCTGCCTCAGCCTTTTAAAGTGTTGTGATTACAGGCATGAGCCACTGTGCCTGGCCATCAGGTTTTTCATAGTGAGGTTCTGTTAGGTTTTCTTTGGAAGCAAAGAATTCTGTTGCTGAAGATTTGAAAAATCAGTGATCTGGAGCTGTGCTGTCAAATGCTAACCATATGTGTTATTCGGTGTCATAGCCACATATGGCTCTTTACATTTACATTAATTAAATTAAAAAATTACAGCCAGGCACGGTGGTTCACGCCTGTAATCCTAACACTTTGGGAGGCTGAGGCAGGCAGATTACTTGAGGTCAGGAGTTTGTGACCAGCCTGGCCAACATGGTGAAACCCCATCTCTACCAAAAATATAAAAAATTAGCAGGGTGGTGGCAGGCATCTGTAATCCCAGCTACTTGGGAGGCTGAGGCAGGAGAATTGCTTGAACCCGGGAGGTAGAAGTTGCCGTGAGCAGAGATCGCACCACTGCACTCCAGCTTGGGCGATACGGCGAGACTCCATCTAAAAAAAAAAATTACTCCCTTACACTAACCCCATTTCAAGAGCACACGTGGCTAGTGGCTACCATATTGAACAGTGCAGATAAAGAACATTTCCTGAATCATGGGACATTCTTTTGGATGGGATGGGTCTAGGAAAGGGCTTGAAATGGGATTGGAAGCTGTAGATTCCCATCCTAGCCCTGCCTACAACTTAAGACTTGGGTGAGTCACATCTTGCCTCTGGGCCTCAGTTTTCTCATCTGAGAGAGGAGAAGAACCCCAGTCCTCCTCACCTCCCAGGGCTGGGTTGACTGTGAAGGGAAAGGCGAAGGGCAGGTGGAAGGCAAGGCTGGGAATACCAGGGTGGGTCCTGGAGCCACGACCTAGTTCCATCCTGGGCTAAAGAAAGAGTCCCAGCTCTGGAGACCCCAAGGGGTGAGCCTTAGACTCTGGCTGGTAGCTCAATACCTCGATGGGGGAGAGGGCCTGTCAACACGCTTCCCAGCCTCTCCCCTCTCGTCCTGGGTTTTCTTACCTGCAGAGCTGAGAGCTGTGTGGTGCAGCGGGCCTGGTGTCTTGCAGGTCTCTGCTCTGCTTGGTGCTCCAGACCTGCCTTATAAAACCCGCATGATCCCTCCCAACTGTGCCCCTCCGCCCCTACCCTGTCATATGAGTCCCGGGGAGAGGAATGGGGTGGGGCACAGGTACAGCCCATCACCCGGCACCGCCCTGTCATTTAGTGTCGGTCAGTCATCCTGGATGTGGGGGAAGGATAGAGGAGTGACCTTCACGGTGAGGTGCTGGAGCAGGGTAGGGGCAGAAACCAAGTTCCCTGGGTCAGGAGCAATGCTCCCCACCATATCCTGGGGGTCAGGGGCCTGGCACTCATCTCTCGGACTACATAGGGACCCTTGTGGGTGGTGGTAGGTGAGGGAGTGAACCCAATGACCTTAGATTCAGAGAAAGTGGATTTCACCATCCGCTGATGTTTGATGAGCAGGGAGTGTGTGAATGTGGGGTGATGTATTGATTCCCTGTCCCCTCCACTGGACTCTGCAAACACAACGTGTTACCAGGAGCAATGGGTTGTGGGCTGACAGCCTGTTCTCTCCTTCCAGTGGCTCACATCCTGGTCACCTCTGAAGCCCCCTCACCCTCCCCCTGGCATGGAACACCCTCGGTGCCTTCTTCTCCTTCAGGCCTCTGTGCTGGGCTGGGTTTGGCTGGCAGCTGCCCCCCCATCTCCTAGTCGGCTGCCCATGCCCCACCACTCGAAAACCCCCAGGCAGAGCCAACTCCCAGAGGACCCTGCCTTTCAAGGCTCCTTCATTTTGCTTTCAAGGGGAGCTAGTAATCTGCATAACAATTTTTCAGTATCGAAACATACCTTCCAATGGTTACCAAACAGACGAAAGCATTTGCCAAAGATGTACCAGAAAATAAAATGGTGCCTTGTTGACTTATTTGATAACCTGCTGCCTCCACATGGTTTGGCCAGATGTAATGAGCTGTTTTTGATTTTTCCACCATTGAGAGCAGAGATTTTGCTCCTGTTCATGCGTCATCGGGCCCCCCTCCTTTTCTGGGAGACTTTGATGCCCCTGGGGTCTTGGTAATGGCAGTGGTACCCATGCTCACAGCCAGCATTGCTGAGAATTGATGGGTGATGAGGGAAGCAGGCTGTGCGGTGTCCATGGCAACGGATGGCTGAATAACTGTTGTGAGTAACCACTCTAATCCAGAGCAGGACACAGTGACTCAGCCGATGGGATAAATGAAAATGACAAAAAGCGGTGCAGGCATTGGTGGTAATTAATTGAATCACAGCATCTCAGAGATGGAAGGACTTTGAGGGGCTTGGGAGGACAGGTGCAGGGTGTAGCTCTGCTCATACACTAGGGGAATGAAGACACGAGTGTTGCGGTAGTCATGGGAAATGATAAGCTTTCAGCAGAAACCTGGCTGTACCAGAGCCCAAGACTCAGTTTGTGCCTGTGATGGGGGTTATGTCCCCTTGGCTGTTCTTCCCAGACTGATTACACAAAGGATGACAATTTCACCAAATAGAAGCATGTCGGTCAGCGTGGTGGTACACGCCTGTAATCCCAGCACTTTGGGAGTCGCAGGCGGGCAGATCATGAGGTCAAGAGATCAAGACCCTCCTGCCCAACATGGTGAAACCCCGTCTCTACTGAAAGTACAAAAATTAGCTGGGCGTGGTGGCATGCACCTGGAGTCCCAACTACTTGGGAGGCTGAGGCAGGAGAATTGCTTGAACCCGGAAGACG